TAATTCAAACAAAACTGAAATTTTTGGTTGTTCCTGTATGCTTTCAATATATTTAAAAGCCTCTTCATTCAAACTCCATCATTCAATTATTTCATACTTTTTGTGGTTCCATACCAGAAAATATCTCCTTCTTTCCCACTACTATTTAAAAATTTGGGTGCTTTTATAACCCTAACGCACTAAATATGAAAAAATACGAGTCTCAGGCCTTGAATAAAAAAGGCTTTGCTAGTAAACCAGTGTTTGAAACAAAGCACACGCATGGTAAACTGTGATGCTTCTCAACTGACATGGAGAGTTTTGTGCTGAAGGCAAGTATATCAAAGAAGCAATGGGCAATTCACGATTTCATCAAGAGTTCTGATCAGAAGTAAATGGCTGATGAAATTGTGGACCTTAAACCTCCGCGTTCTGTTCATTGTATGCAGTTAGGGTCTAAACACACTTAAAAAAATTTTAAATGAAAAGAAATCAATGCCTAATCATAATGTGAGGTATCACCTCACCCAGTCATATATCTGAGAACTTCTGACGGTTCAAACTTCTTGATAATTCAAACAAAATTAAGAGGTCCCTTCAAGTTTGTATTAACAAGAGTTGACTGTATTTACAAGGCAAGAGACGCTTAATGCAGCGCAAGGGACAGAACAGTCCGCCGCATAGCCACTTACTCTCTTTCACTTTGCAGCCTTCTTGGCTCTTTTTTGGCAAAAAATATAGGTCGTAAAATGCCGAGCAAGCACCCCAGCTATCATCATCATCAGCCTGACAACACCCACTGCAGGGCAAAACCCTCTCCTATGATCCGCCAATCAACCGGTCTTGTGCTTTCCGTTGTCACGTTATACCCGCAAACTTTTAATCTTATCGGCCCACCTAACTTTCTGTCTCTGTTTCGTGTGTTTGCCTTCCCTGGGAATCCAGTCAGTTACCCTTAATAACCACAGGTTATCCTGCCTACATGCTACGTGTCCGGCACATGTCCATTTCTTTTTCTTAATTTCAACTATGATATCCTTAATTCCAGTTTGTTCCCTGACCCACTCTGCTCTCTTCTTGTCTCTTAAGGTTACACCTATCATTTTCCTTCCTATCGCTCGCTGCGAGGTCCTCAATTTAAGCTGAACCCTCTTTGCAAGCCTCCAGGTTTCTGCTTCGTAGGTAAGCACTGGCAAGATGCAGCTTTATATACCTTCCTCTTGAGGGATAGTGGCAATCTACCAGTCATGATTTGAGAGTGCTGGCCAAATGTGCTCCACCTCAGTCTTGTTCTTCCAGTAACTTCAATCTCGTGGTTCGTTTCTGCGGTTATTACCTGACCTTAGTAGACATATTCCTTTACAACTTGCAGCATCTGTCCACAAATCACAAAGTACTGTTTTCTGCTGAGATTTTCGCACATTACTTTAGTTTTGTGCGTATTCATTTTCAAACCTACTTTCCTGCTTTCCCTGTCCAGTTCAGTAATCATGAGCTGTAATTCGTCCCCTGAGTTAATCATCAAGGCAATTTCATCAGCAAATTGCAGGTTAATAAGATACTCTCCATTAACTCTTATCCCTAACTCTTCCTAGTCTAGGTTCTTGAATATCTCCGGTAAACAAGCGATGAATAGCATTGGAGCGATCGTATCTCCCTGCCTTACACCCTTCTTTATTGGGATTCTGTCGCTTTGTTTATGAAGAACTATTGTGGCTGTGGATCCTCTGTATATTTCTTTCAGTACATTTATGTAGAGTTTTCAATGGCCTGATTCAGTAGTACCTGCATTACTGCTGATGTCTCAACTGAGTCAAATGCCTTCTTGTAATCTATGAAAACTATGTATAGGCGTAAGATGTATTGAGCGTATTTCTCGATTACCCAATTTATAGTATGAATATGGTCTATTGTGGAGTAGTCGGTACGAAATCGTGCTTGGTCCTTTGGTTAATTGAAGTGTAAGATTGTATTTATTCTATTAGCAAATATTTTTGTAAACAGTTTGTAGAGAACGGACAATGAGCTGATTGGCCTGCAATTTTTTTAAGCCTTTGACGTCTCCATTCTTATGAATTAAGATGATGAGTGCGTCCTTACAAGATTCTCAAACCCTTCCCGTCAAGAGAAACATTGTATAGAAGGTGGCCAGTTTTTCTAACACAATTTCTCCGTCATCTTTCAGGAGGTCTGTTGTTACTTCATCCTCACCAGGGGCTTTGCCTCTTTGCATTCCTTCTACAAATTTCCTTACTTCTCCTGTCGTTACTAATAGGATGTCAAATTCCTCTGGTCCATTATTGTTTCTCACAATATAATCCTGGTTATTTTGACTTCTGTACAGTTCTCTATAGAACTCCTCTGCCATCTTGACTATCCTATCCATATTTGTTATGACATTGCCTTTCTTGTTCCTCAATGCATACATCCAATTTTTGCCTATGCAAAAGTCTGCCTTCACAGCTTTTAAGCTTCTGGCACTTTTTACAGCCTGCTCAATTCTTTCCATGTTGTACCTCCTGATGTTGGCTACCTTACACCTACTGATTAACTTCGAAAGCTCCACTAGCTCTATTTTGTCAGTTGCATTTTAGGCTTTCATCGTTTGTCGTCTCCTAATAAGATTTTTCATCTCCTGAGATATTTTGCCAGTTTCCTGTCTAGTGACTCAACCTCCAACTTCTATTGCACACACTTTAATGATACTAGTAAGATTATCGTTCATTCTGTCAGCGCTAACCTCGGTTATCTCATTTAGTGCCTCGAATCGATTCTGAAGCAAAACTCTGAATTCCTGTATTTTCTCTCACCACCAGTTCATTAATTGGCTTCTTGCGTATCAGTTTTTGTCTTTGCTTTTTGAAATCTAGGTGAATACGAGCTCTTACCATTCTATGGTACCTGCATCTAATCTTGCCTACTACTTCAACATCCTGTACAATGTCTAAGTGTACGCACAGAATGAAGTCAACTTCATTTTCAGTTTCTCCATTAGGACTTCACCACGTCCAGTTACGGTTAGTTCGTTTTCTGAAAAAGGTATCCATAATCCGTGACTTATTACATTCTGCGAACTCCACTAATAACTTCCCTTTGGCATTTCTAGAGCCGATGTCATTCCCCCACTGCATGGTCTCCAGCTTGTTTCGTGCCTGCTTTGGCATTAATGTCGCCATAAGAATAGTATACTGTGTCTTTACTTTATTACTGGTTGACTCTAAGTCTTCATAAAAGCATTCAACCAAATTATCATCATGACTCTATGTAGGTGCGTAGGCCTGTACCACTTACATATTGTACAATTTGTTAAACTTAATTATGATACTTGCCACCCTCTCACTGATTCTATAGTATTCTTCTATGTTGCTAGCAATATTCTTGTGTATGAGAAACCACCCTCCTAGTTCTTTTCTGTCAACTAATCCACGGTAGAATAGGTTGTGTCCATTCTTCAGCGCTGTATAAGCCTCATGTGTCCTCCTAAATTTGCTGAGCCCTATTAAATCTCATTTAATACCCTCTAATTTCTCGAATAGCATAGCTAGACTAGCCTCACTAGCGTTTTAATGTTGAGGGTAGCCATGTTCAGATTCCAATGGCCGCCTGTTCGTACCCAGCGGTTCTTAGCACCTTCCACTGCAGCGCAGGTCTGACCACCACCTTGGTAAGTTGCTGTGCAGCTGCTGGAGACTAAGAACTACGGTTCATTGCTGTGTTCATGGGAGGTTGTGGCCAGGTACTGCACCAGGGTGGCCAATCCTGCTCTAATGAGGGAGTGCATTACAAGCAGGTGGTCACTCGCCAGTGAGGCCACACCTCAGGCATCTTTTTTTACCTTCTTGTTTAACGATTCCATCATCACACATTTTAAGTAGATATACAATTGAGAATGGTTCGACGTCTCTATTCGAACCGAATTTTGTCACGGAATGCTTGGCTGCTACGCTATCTCTAAGTGGATGGTCTGTTCCACTTTATTGGCAATGCAGAAAACTACCTGACCACCTATAAGCTCCCACCTTCACCTGGCTGGTAGTTTCTCTCAACTTTATTTCCCAAATATCTGAAAATATAATTTCCCTATTAAAAAAACAGCACCCTGTGTGGTTTCGAACTTCTGATCTTGCGAGCTTATGCCGGATTATTGTCTTGAATGATCTCCCCTTCTCACGCGTTTGACTTACACTAACTTCTTCCTGTCTCGCTCTATATTCCTGCTATAGTGAAAGATAACCCGACCCCATTTGGTGAGGGGCACTTGCTCGGTCCCAAACTGAAATTCAAGATGGCAGTGGGCGAGCCACTAAATATTTAAAAAATGCCCATTATTGCTTCTCATGAGATGCTTCATTCATTTACCAACAAAGAAGTTTTGTAGCAACATTAGATACTCATACAGTGCACTCATTCTTGTTGTTTTTTGTACACAAGCAATGCCTGCCTTGTAAAAAGTGGCCGCAGAGGAGGAGGGGCGCTTGCACGACATGTTATGGTATGTGTTAAAAAGCAGCAGTGTTTTTATTTGCAAGTTTCTGGCTAAATATACATAGAAATCAATAATTTCTGAGCCCCATAAGACATGCTATAGTACAAGCACATTCAATAACAGAGCTACAATGACATCAGTTGGCAGTCATCACCTCCTGAAGCCTCATACCTTATCATTTCTAATTTGGGTGGACATTCTGCTCTAGATGTATACTGCTGGAGTGAACCATACGTAAACAGAGTTCCGAATCTGTATCAAAAAATGACAAGCTTACTTCGAGTACCCAAAGACATAGCTAGTCAAGGCTACACCGCCCCGTTCCCTGCCAATTACAATTAACACCTGCTGTGCAGCCACCCGTAAGCAAATGGGGAAGCTACACATCTGCAGTTGCTCGTAACAGAAACGCAGACTCATATTTCACTTTTCTTAATTAGTGCAACATACCGCCCTTTACGGATAGCCAATGATTACTCTATTTAACTAGCCCGGTTTTTCTGGCATGTCCTCTATCTTTTCGTTTGCACCATACCTGTTTCTTGCTTCATCTTCGTGGTCCACCTCTGTAAAACAAAGCATTGACACAAGTCATAAACAGGCGTGTCACAGAGAATGAGGAAGGCTGGATAATTCCCATCATCATGCACGCGAGTTTTTGTAAAGGTACCAACATAGTGTGGCATGTAAAACACACTACTCTGGACAAGAAGCACAGAACGCTTTTCAGAATAAGCAACTTTTAAAGAAGTTTTGAAGTAGCTTACCAATGGTGACTTTTCCTATCTTTTTATTCTCGTGTATGATTCTATGCTTACATAACAATGGAGCCGAGAAAAAAAATGCCTTGAGGGGAGATGCAAGCCGAAAAACGAGATTTTTTATCAAATTACATATCTTCCAGTTTTTATTTGCTTTCACTAGTTTATTTTTTCCACTTTCCTGACAAAAAACTGCAGATTTTAATTTAATTTTAAGTATGTTAAAATCACTTTTAAAGAACACGAAATGGCTACAAAAATAACTAAAAAGTGCGCATTGTCTAGAGTCCCCTGGTAATTGTCACCAGGCTGCTTGCCATTGCATTTTGCATGAAGGATTCCATAAAGCCACTTGCTCGAAATATGCATGGTTGCCAAACTATCGTGATGGAAAAAATCTTCCTTCAAAAAAAAAAAAAGATATCTGTTCTGCATAGATGATCTTTCACTTATACTTTTACAATGCATTTCTCTCAGGATCCACGTGTAGGCAACTTCTCGAGTTTGGACATCATGTTTCTGGTACTTTTGATAACCCAATTGGAATAGAATTTTGCCAACACATTCCTTAACACCTGAACGGTATAAGTGTCATATTTAAAACTTGATGTTGCCAGTATAACAAAAAGTAAGCAACTGGTATAGGCAAAGGATTTTAGGAATTCTCACATTATAATTTTTCTTGGCCAACAAAAATGTTTTACACACACTTTCTAGATAGTTATTTGTCTAATACAGTTAATGTGGAGGAATTTCAGCCATTAATGGCTTAGAACCATAAGACTTTGTTCGAAACAAACTATATTTTATCAATTGTCATGGCACAAATCAAGAACTCTCCAACTTACTATAAAATTTTGAAGTCGGAATAAGAGCCTATATATACAGCAAAAATTTCATTACCCTAGGCTACAAATTTACGCTTTTTTTTTTCCTGAATTGCATCTTCGCTTCAAGATGTCAGTGGGGCACAGTTCACATTTGAAGCTCAGGTAAATGAAAGCTACAACAACCGGCGGACCTAAACATGTAAATTTACTAGCATCAATGTCAAAATGCGCGACACGACAACGTCATGGAGGGGCACGGCATGCAATGCTCACAGCAAACCCCGATGGCATGCAATAAAAAAATCCGGCAAGCTCTCGGCTCGTCCAAACATTCATGATTTACATGACCGTCTACGGCTCAGTTGTTCAATTGTCCAGTGAGGCCGGCTTACTTGACGGTACAGAGCCTCCCGGCCGTAGCCACTGACAAGAGCGTACCACGCAATCATCCCGCGCTTCGCAGAACTCCTGTGCCAACACTCGATCTTCAGCGCTTCTGCAATAATTTGGCGTTGCGACCACCTTCACTAACGAAAGATCTCCGGTGAAACGTACGGACGCAAAGAACAGAAAGCACCCGCCCTTCAAAAGCAGCGAAAGCGGGCGCGGTACAGGGAAGACCGCACTGCAAGAAACGACATTCGCGTGAACTCCGACCGCGTGTGGCAAGGCGCTCTATTTCTAGTTTGCCAGAGGCAAACGCACAATTTCTTTAGAAGCATGCTAATGCTGAAATATGCATAAACTTCACTAACCGAAGTACTTCTCCAGCTCCGAGATGCTCTCGTCCATACATGCCGCTAAATTGGCAAACTTTGGGCAATTGTATTCCCAAGACGCCATGAGGGCGCGAAGACACGTAACAAACTGTTACTATTTATACGTATACGTAGTACTATAACCCCTGTTCTAGTACACTGTAGTACTATCGTACTACACAGACCAGCTATCAGATGTCAGCGAACACAGATGCACCTCGACCGCTCAGCGCGAAGCACCGATTTCAAAAAACGTTCTCTTGCTACTCGAGATGATGATGACAATCAATAATGACAAAAAATGAAGAAGCTTTTACTTTTTCTACAAATTCAAAGCATTAAACGTACAAAAAAATTTTTGACAGAACAAACCCCAACCTTCAAAAACATTTTTTTTTTATTTGGAGTACACTCGTTCAAGACAAGACGCTGATATGTGGCTGATGCGGTTGATACCTAAGCCTCCGTGAGTTCTATGTGCGAATTCACGGAGGCTGGTACCGAAAAATTGCGTTGATTTTATGATATAGATATAATTTGGCACATTTACTCGTCAACTTTCTTCAATTTTTTGAAGCTAAAGAACTGCTTATTAGAGATTAGACTTTGCATTAGAGAGACATAGATTCGATGATATTGGTACAGTTAACTGCTGCGCATGCATGTCATCTCTCGTACTCTCGTCACTCCACGGAGAAACCTTTTACCTTTTTCCTTCCTCCGTGTTGTAGTCAAACTTTATACATGTACTGACCAAGTCACGCATGCAATCATCCACAATCATCAAACTTCCCCCTCGCAAGACTCTGGTGGGGGGGGGGAGAGACTAGAGTTACTGTATTGCTACCTTTAGGTAACTATATATGCTATCTAAAGGTAGCATATATAGTAACCTTAAGGAAGACATGCCGGGACAGTCGTATGGATGATGATGGGTTGATGAGTTACGTGAGACTCTGAGACAAAGCGCCTTCGGCGCAGCGTTTTCTTCCTATCTGACAAAGGGCATCATTTATGCACAAGCGCACTAGGTTTATAATTTATTTGTAACATATCAGTGGTTTGCGCGACTTCCGGTACTTCCGACGCGAGATTGTAAATTGTGTAAACAATCGTCATAGCAACCGCAACGTTTTTGTGCATTGTATTTGTAGCTCTCGTAGTTCGGAGCTGAAAATGTGCCAAACGTCTGCGTGTCCTCTTCCTGACAAGAGCTAGCGCTGCGCTGCGTATTTGAACTGCCAGCTAGTGCCCATGAAGACTGCTGGGATGCTGAAGGCCGTAATTCTAATCGGAGGGCCTCAAAAGGGCACGCGTTTTCGACCGCTCTCTTTCGACATCCCGAAACCACTATTCCCGGTCGCAGGCCGCCCGATGATGCAACATTTGGTCGAGGCATGCTGTGGTCTGCCAGGCGTGCGTGAGGTTTTGCTCATCGGCTTCTACCCGGCCGACGATGCAGACTTGACGAGGTTTGTGAAAAGTGCCAGCCGCGAGTACGGCTTGCCAGTGCGCTACCTCCAGGAGTACGCGGCACTGGGCACGGCTGGCGGCATTCACCACTTCCGCGACCAGATTCGCAGGGGCGATCCAGAGGCCTTTCTGCTTATCCACGGTGACGTATGTGGTCATTTCCCGTTGTCAGAAATGTTGGAATTCCACCGGTCGCTGCCCGCAAGCAACCTGGTCACCGTGCTGGCCACCGAGGCAACGCGCCAACAATCGCTGAGCTACGGCTGCATAGTCGAAGACAAGGCGACGCATCGGGTGCTGCACTACGTCGAGAAGCCTTCCACATTCGTCAGCGCCGTAATAAACTGTGGCGTCTACCTGTGCAGCCCGGACGTGTTTCACAGGACTGGGGCAGCGCTGCGCGACCGACACGCTCGAGAGGGCGACAGTAGTCTTGACGCGCTCAGCTTGGAGCGCGACGTGCTGGCGCCGCTGGCTGCCGCCGGCCGACAGCTGCACGTCTTTCAGACGAATCGCTGGTGGAGTCAGCTCAAAACGGCCGGATCAGCCATCTACGCCAACAGGCACTACCTCGAGCTCTACCGCCTGGAGCACCCGGAACGTCTAGGCGCAGCCGCGGCCCGACGGGCCCACAATATTGGGCGACGTGTTCGTGCACCCGTCAGCGTGCGTGGACCCCAGCGCCACACTCGGGCCGAACGTGTCCGTCGGACCCGGGGCGCGCATCGGAGCCGGTGTGCGCATCCGCGAATCGCTGGTGCTCGCCAACGCCACTGTCTGCGACCACGCGCTTGTCCTTCATTCCATTGTGGGCCTCGACAGTTCGGTCGGCGCCTGGAGCCGCGTAGAAGGAACACCCTGTGACCCCAACCCGGACCGGCCCTTTGCCAAAATGGAGAATGTGCCGCTGTTCAATGCCGATGGTCGCCTGAATCCTTCGATCACAGTGCTCGGCTGCCATGTCAGTGTGCCTGCAGAGGTCATTGTGCTCAATTCCATTGTACTACCTCACAAGGACCTAGCTCAAAGCTACAAAAATGAGATAATCCTTTAAGGGTAAGCCTATAGCTTGGAGACATGAAAGCTAGCTTGTGAAAAGGAAAACACTTTTATGGTTTGCTATGAACTGTGTTTGTGGCATTTGGGAATGAAACATGGATGACTCGGGATAAATGGCACACTGTGGTCTGTTGTCGGAGGGAACACAGGAGTACGTGGACACTAATGTGAGGGGCTGAGCAATCACACATGTTCTCTGTGGGCTTGGCTGACAGTATGATTCATTTGTCTGGTGTACGCACTTGCTAAGAATGCCAAGCCATTTTTCGCTAATACAGGGTACGCATTGACATTTATGCATCACTGTTTTGACACTGGTTAGAAATAAAGAATAAACTTCTTTACTTAGAAGGTAGCTTAGGAGAGGTGCCCTTAGTCCGGGATCTCTTGAGCTCAGGAAAGTCTGAATTTATATAAGGTGTTGCAGAGAAACAAGTTCTAATCGTTTCTTATATAAACTGTCTGCCCATCTGTCGGGAAATGTTACACCACTAGCTGCTCACCTGTTCTTTAATTTCGTGTAATCTTGCCATCGTATTCAGACTACTCTCGTAAATTGCAGTGAATGATGTACACATTTTTCAACATTTGGTCTTGCTGACGACCTCGTTTTTATATTTTATAAGGAGGTCGTGGTCTTACTATTGCTTTACAATGATACGGTGTAAATTTCAGCTGAGAGACGCCATAGTGGAAGGCTCCGTAATCGTTGCCCATCCGGTGTTCAGTGAACGTGCACTGATGTCACACGCTACACAGGCCTCTACCACTTCGCCTCTATCGAAATGCGACCCCCACAGCCAGAATTGAACCCATAACCATCAGGTCTGCAGCCAAGCACCATAATGACTACCCCGCCACGGTGGACAACACTGTGTATGTTTGGAAACCCGCAAGAAGATGAGAAAAAAATGTTGTATTGAGGAAAAGGTCAAAACTTTTACAAAAAAGAAACTGAAACAAGAAGATGTTGTGAACAAATGAGCAGCTACATCAAACTCACATGCAAGAGGGGCAGAGGCACCTTTAGTGACCTGACATGCATCATCAAGCCAAACAGCCTCAGAAACACTGTCAACACCAAGCAGCAAGAGATAGTGGACATTGATTTGAAGATTCAGGAAAAGCAGCAAGGAGTGACGTATTGAACTACTCCTTAATTTTACCTATCTTATCTTGCATGTTGTGTCATACTGAAAAAAGTTTGGATTTTGTGTCATACTGAAAGCAATTATCTATGTAACTTTAAGAAACTATAACTGAAAGTTGTCTAGAAAGAAAGTTTCATAGGAGCCAGTTTTCCGGTGATTTCTCCAGCGTTGTTACCCTTTTTTGATGAATTCTAGTTGTTTCAAGCCTCTGTTCTCCCGTCGAGATAGGTCAACTGAGTTTGTCACAGACAATGTGATCCTTGAAAATTCACACACATAGACTTAAAAGTCCTTGAAAACCCTTGAGTTTTCATTATGTAAACGAGCGGGAACCCAGTTTAACAAAAGAACCTAACAATTACTCATAATCAGTCCACAATACCCCTGAAGCAAGCTCGTATACAGCACTTGCTAGTGCCTTCTAAATATTTTGTAACAGCAGGATTAAGTATTGCAATGACTATAGTCTCAAGGTGGTAAACAACTATTGAATAAATGTGATGTCTAAACATTATTCGATTTTAATTAGTTAACATCTTCATAGATATTATCATGCAGACAGTGGGTTGATGACTCTCGCCAAGGTGATACTGTAGTTTTATGCAAAAAATGGCTTTCTCTTGTGTTATGTTTTTGTTCCATATAGTTTCTCTTGAGGCAAGACCTCGAACTGGGAAAGAGAGGAGCCATTTTCTAACTATACAAAAAAAACTTTATGGACACGCGAAAAAAACAGATTCAAGTTATAGACACGTTATAACTACCACAATCGGCGATGCCTGAACGATGAAGTTCTGTGTACCGTTTAAGGAAAAAAGATCAATATCACCAGTTGTAATGCTTGCGTTGGCCAGGAGGGAGCAGTCAGTGCGGCGACGTTGAGTAGGTAGCACAAGCGCTCGTGGGGCACACGAGGAGGCAGGCAGGCTGAGATGTCGCGGTTTGAGGGTCCCAAGCAGGCATGGTAGGCCGGCGATCTCGTCCACGTACGTCGGCCACGAGAAGGTTGCAGCCTCTTGGTCAAGACGGGCAAAGCAGGTTGCAGCAGGAACTGCGAGCGACTGGTCGTGGAGACCCACGCTGTCGGGCCCTTTGTACTCGCCCCCAAAGCGCGACTGTACGGACCCTGGCACCAGTGTCGTGTCGCTCTGGCTTCTCCGGGTCTCACTGCCTTATGTTCTAGCCTGTAGTCCTCTTCTCTGTCTCCATACCAGCTTCTCACTGGGTTTTGCCCGATTTCTCACGTCCGCTCACCACATGCCGTGCCCCGCCAAAGTCGTCCTTCTTTTCGTTGTGCACATGTACATTGTGTGGTGTCACTGTCGTGTTACACCACTGCTTTTACACTACCCGTGACAATGAACAAGCTGATTAAGGCCCAGGACTTCATTTCTTAAACTCTAGCCATCCAGAGGGCCCGCCCGAGGGTGGTCAGGTTTATCCTCACTGTCCACGAATGGGCCTAGCAAGGTGACGTTAAGTTAACTCACGTTTATTGTAGACCTAATGAAGCTATTTCACTCACTCACCTGTGACACTACCACAGCACTGCTCTGAGAACATCGCACTGTTGCATTACTCTCATCACATTTTGTGATCAATATTGCCCCAATATTCTCATATGTACATGGGCTGCATGTATCTGCTCAATCTGGTTATAAATACTAGAAAAGTTGTCCCTCACTGATTCGACGTATTGCTCCTTTGAGCTTTATTCGGGGTTGCTGGTTATTCGAAAGCTTCAAAAGAATATTTAGTATTTGAAATATGAACTATTCGGTTGGAGAATTGAGTGGAATAGAGCACTGTTCAATTCCTTAAGCATATCTTTCCCTAATATTTTCGCACCCCTAATATTTTTCATATCTGTTTCAGACAGCCATGTTACAGTAAGTTTAATATTTGCTGTAAAATGAATGCCAAGCCTGTGGGGAAAGCACAGTTGCATTGAAAACTGAAAGAGCAGTCTTTTAATTTGGGCCTGTTTTAAACTTTTCTGGGAAAACTAGCTGAAATACACTTGCCAGGTACCTTGACATCATAAACCATAACTTTTTTTAAGTTGGGAAGCACCCACTATACCATTATTAACCATCCTGCAGAAAAGTGAGCTACCCGCTACATGTTTGTAAAGTATTAAGCGCACATGCGATAACTGATGACAATGAAGAATTATGACCGAGCCCTCTGTAATGGGCAGGAAGGTTTATACAACTCACTAGTTATGTAATTCGCATTGTATGACGCACAGTGATTTTATACTCTCCTAGTACTATTACATGCGCTAATGTGAGAAAGAGAGAACTTGGTTGAGGTCCTGAGGAAACGGATCATGAAGTCTTTATGCTCACATTATGTGATGTGCAGTCGTTTTACACTCTCCTATATGCCACTCGATATTACATATGTTAATGTGAAAGAGAGAACGAACTTGATTGACCTTCTGAGGAAACAGATCATGGTGGCCTCATAAACTTCCTTGGAAACTAGTACAAGTAAGCTTACGAGGTACCTACTATGCCTATAAATCACCATAACTTTTGTGGAGTAATGAAGAAAGGATACACGTGCTTTCATTCTGCCGTGTGTCTGCTCTCTCTACCCTCACCTTACTAGGGCAGAGGAGGTTGTGCTTAGAAGGCTTTGGGCAGGGGTGGCCCTTACACCGACTGTTATATTGTCATAGAACTGGTCACGTTTACGAGTTGGTGATACGTCTCCGTATTGTCCCACTCCAGGGGTGCAAGCAGATGCATACCACCTTTTGTCCAGCGATGCAAGCAGATACATACCACTTTTTATGGACGTGTAAAGGGTTGCAGCCAGAACGCTCCTGTCACCTCGCTCAAGTTGGCCTTCGCTACAGCGATACACACAGTTACAATCGCTGGATACATGAAAACAGATTCCACAAGACACTACTTCACTTCATACTCAACACTGGCCTAGCAGCACACATTTAGCAATATATTATACCTTAAAAGCAAGTCTTTGTCGCATTAAAAAAAAAGAAGGCTTCAAAATATAATTATTTGTCATTCTGGAAGAAGAGTGGAGCCTTTGACACACCTGTAAAGTATTATGCGCAATATGTAGATGATGTGGCCGATGACGCTGGATTATAGCTGAGCCTTTTGTTATAGGTTGGAAGCATTCAAAGACTCATTAGTTGCACAACTTGCATTATGTGATGCCTGTTTGTTGACTTACTCATTTACCACGCTGCATTACTTACGTATGTTAACCTGGTTCGTTCTCAATATGAAGTCTGTGTAGGGTCTTTTGCAATGGAGTTTCAAGCACCAGCATGGATTCATGGTAGAATAAAGAGCTGCCATGGAGAGCGTGCAGGTTCTAACGCGGTTCTATCTTGTATATATTTTCATCTTATTTTGTTTTCTCTTTTTTTTTTACGCAGTGGCATTTCAGTGGCGGTGGACAACAACGGCACTGAAGATGGCCATTGTTGTGATTTCATAATCTCTTTCACTCTAAAAGTCCAAGTAGAAGCAATACACGCTGCAGACTGATAGCAGCGATAAGATTGGACGTATGCGGATAATTTGATAATTGGTAGATTGTGTCCTATGGTGTAAGACTGGTATCAAACCTACCAGAGTTATCGCTGGTGCTTGCATAGGCTCAAATAAGCTTTGCTAGTGACATCTTTTGTGTAGTCTTAATGAAACAATGTGAAACAATTATGAAGCTTCCCAAACATTGCTGTGCGGCCTGCCTTGAGTGGTGCTAGCAGCTTTTGTGGGAGACACCTCGTCGCACCAAACTAAAAAAGTCTGCATGCATAGCAGTATCATTATTTTGGTTTATAAAACTCCAAAAACTATTGGACTAAGCAGTTCACCAAAGGCTGCAAAAAAGTAAAATGAAAGAATGGAGTTTTACCAATTTAATGCTACGACTGTTCTAACAGGTGCATTTAGTCTAGTTTTGTTGATTCTGGGAACATGATCACAAATGCACATTTCTAACCAACTTTTTTGTATTTGTAGTGCATTAAACCTATTTATGGTGTTTTATAAACATATTTATAAAGCAAGATATTTATGTGGGATGCTGCTTTACACCATTGAAAGTCTTTAAAACTTGCCCGAGTTATGAATGACTGGCATACGTATTTGCACTAGTTATGGAAAACGTTCGTTACCTCGAATGTATTTTATTCACCAAAAGCCTTCAATGATCTCTCTGAGTTATAACCTCTACATTAAACTGAAAGAGGCTCAGGAAACCAGTACAATGCGCATGTAAAAAGTGTAAAAGAGTAACAAGAACAAGATAATAATGCAAAGAATGCACTAAGCATTTTATTTATTTCGTAAGGAAGATGGTGGACATGTAACTCGTGCAAAAGAAAAGAAAAAGATGACTGTGATTGTTGGCCTGCATCTAGTTAGCCCTTTTCGTAAACCAGTGCTTCTTCCTGTCAATTCCTGTCTGTTAAACACCCTTGATTAAACTGGAGGTGCGAAGTACATCTGGTCCTCAGTATACAACTGATGCGATTGTGCAGCCTGACACTACCACAACCTTTCGTGATGACTTGCGATCACGCATAAGCCCATGATTGTTATCTCTACGCCAAAGTGACTGAAAGGATAAAGGGGTCTTGTTTGTGGAGTACCTATGTGTCGGCACAGCAACCATTCTTTCATCTATATCAGTTCATTTATAAATAAATACATGTTATTGTAAGAGTTTGTATGTCAATTTGGACTGCCTGATTGGTTTCATCCTCAGTGCAACTAGACAGTGAAATAAAAAGCAGTACCTGGATAAGCCAAGTGCTATAAATCTTCATAATTGAGAGCATGGCTTTTTTAACAGTGCAAACCTCCTTACGCTTCCATTTCATGAGTTCAGTCTTTGATATAGCCGCTTGTGCAGCTGTTGGTGCTTGTACTCAATGTTATGCCTTCTCTACGACTTGCGTTGCGATGTTGACACACCTAAAAACTAGTGAAAATGTCTCTAGACAGCAGGTTGCTGAGTTCAGAATTTAAAATCCATTTTGTTCTCTCCTTGCCCACTTAGAGGCTGGCCCCTGAAGCAATGTGGATCAGTGACCGAAGCTGGAACGCAGCTGGGTACTGCTCCTTGACTCAGTGTGAACAAGTACTGCAATAAGGACAGCATCGGCCTTTCTAGACTGTTTCTGAAGGTGCTAAGTACACATTGATTTCTCATCCTGCTTGTCAAGAAACTGTTGTGGAACATAACCTTTGCTAACATTTGAAAATGTAAAATGAACCCATGAATTGCTAGAGCAAACCTGCGCCTATGGAGACTTCATATTTGCTTTGAATAAAAAAATGCAAATACATTTTGCTGCACTAGGTGTTTTCGCTTTCACTTATCCTAAAATAGACAAAATCTGTCCTGTTAAGTCATCTGCAAGCACAGTTACACCACAGTACTGTCTGTCATCAGAGGTGAAAGCAAAGTCGAACCCAACTCAACTTTTCGAGTGCTCGGTGTACTCCCCACTGTGCA